GCCTGCGGTACAATTCTAAAGTTGATTTTTTTTTTAAAGTTGTTTAGGTGCAGACCAAGGTTTTCAATAAGAGGTGCGACATATGCTTTCCCACTTTAGTTGAATTGTTTTTTGTGATTCGTAAATTTTCATTTGGACCTAGATAAACAAACTTTATATGAAATTGTATACTTAAAAGATCTACAACTTTATAATTTAATTTTTATTGAAAGTTGCTTATTAGGTGGCTGAAATTTTAGCAAAGAAGAGATTAAAAGGAAGTAAATTCACTATTACATGTAATGTAGTATATATAGTGCCTGTTAGTTTATAGAGTTGAGCGTGTGCGTGCGTTTATGTGCTTTTCTCATTTTGGCGAAAAAAACTTTAATGCAAGTCTACTAGTGTAGGGGTGGTCCATAGAGTGAAATCTTCCACGCCCCATACTTTATTGTCATATAGGTTTATATAATCGTATGACGGTACTAGCACAGAGAAAATTTTACTAGTAGTACGTGTACTCATGACATACGTACGGCCCCATAAAATAAACCAGCTTCCTCGGTGTCCACGACTCTGAGTAGTTGACTGTAGGTAGAGATGAAAACGGATGGGACAGGGACGGATATCAGCGATATTAAGGGGGTGCAAGGTTCGCTCATAAATTTCACGACACATTGAATATTTAGATATTAATAAAAAATATTAAATATAGATTAATTATAAAACTAATTATATAGATGAAGGCTAATTTAAGAGATGAATTTTTTAAGTCTAATTAATTCATCATCAGCACATGTTTACTGTAGCACCATGTTGTCAAATCATGGACTAATTAGGCTTAAAAGATTCGTCTCGCAAATTAGTCGTAAATTGTGCAATTAGTTTTATAATTAGTCTATATTTAATACTCCATGCATGTGTCCAAATATTTGATGTGACAGGAATTTTAGGAGCTCCTGTAGAAACCAAACAGGCTCTACGTTTGTTTTCATTTTTTTGGTTAGATTTATATTCGAATATAGATAGTGTTAATCATACAGGATATGATACGATTCGATGTCGACATTAAATATGTGATTTGAGTTTTCGATATGGATAGAATATTGGAGGTTGAATATCTACACTCGGATGGATGGATGTTGAATATCTAAACTTCGATAGGGAGAGATCTGAACATCTGGTCAGAAAATATCGGTAACGTTTTCATCCCTCACTTTCAGTGAACGAGATCAGGAGAATCAAAGACAAGTCGGAAAAAGATCGCAAGAGCATTATACAATTTCAATTTTTTTTATATTGAAGGGGACTGGACTTATTAGGGGCTGGCAAACTGGAACAATAAATTGCATTGGCCGGATGTACTTACAAGGAAACAATGACCAAGAAATGGTGCCGGTGTGTGAATTTATTCATATACTTTAGGATGTTGCACTGATTTAACGTAGCATCAAAACGATCAACTACTAGCCCATTTACAGCATTTTATGGCTAAATTACATCAAATACAGGAACAAGGTGTCATGCATTTGTGGTGTTGATGTGCCTTTTAATTTTGGATGAAATCTTTGTATTCATGTGTTGCATTTGTGGTGTTGATGTGCCTTTTAATTATGTCAACTATGTATGCAAGACAAATTGAGCACCATTAATTCATTCCTGTTGGATCTCATAGATAAAATATGACATACTTGTAATTAATTACTAATAGACGGTAGTGGAAAGCGATGTTATATTGTGTTGCATCACAATTGCTAATAAATTTACCCACACAGTTAAAGTGTTGTTGTTATATAGGTCAAAGCCATGTTAGGGTCTCAAGTTTTTTTTCTTTTCTTTCTATACTAAAAATATCTCTTTTTTTCTATAACGAACCAAACATGTTCTCATGATGGCAAATTGCGCGCAACAAATGTGGTAGAATATCACCAAGCGAAACCATAGAACCGATGTAAAAAACCAATAGACAAACGAGGTGTTGCAAGTCCAGTGTACCACATCACCTGTAGGTCTAGCGATGGCACATGAAAAAATTGGTAGCAGGTTGGGTAGAGAGAGAGAGAGAGAGAGGGTGGAGTACTGAGGACGGCAGGTGGTAGTAGAGCGAGGAGTAGATCAGAGGAAAAATATCTATCTGAGGGCCGGGAGTAGGGTCATGTGAGTTTGGTGAGGTGGGGGAACGAGGAATACGAGGTGGCACTGGCAGCGCAGGATGGATATATGGATCCGGGGCGCTTCACGTGGGCCGGACCCGACGCGCCCACCACCTCAAGCAGCAGCTTGGAGTTGGAGCCTTGGGGGAGCTTGTGGCTGGTGGCCCTCGCGCGCCGCGGCTGTCCTGCTGCCTCCCTGCTGGTGTGGTGTTTGCTTCCTTCGCGGCCACTCCGCCTCTTCCCAGCCTCACGTTATTCCATCTCGCTGCCGGTATCGAGATGACGAGATGTCACTGTTAGTGATCTTGTTATCGATGCCTGGACAAGCATCTTTTCGATGATCGGCCTTTGTTCATGCATGCGTCTACATAACCTGCTAAACATCTTTTTTAAAAATAACTGCTACACATGTAGCACATCCCTATCATCGTCTCGTACGTATTCGTATAGTGGCACAAGTAACCTTTAGTTTCATCTGTCGGCAATCGCGCACGTTATTGAAAAAAAAGATTCACTTTAGTTTCATCTTTTCACACTTCAACAAGCTATATCTTATGCGCACCGTAGAGAGATCCAACTCCGCTCTCTACTTTGCCTAGCGAGAAATTTGGATAGCAATAATTAGAGATCTACTTGAAGCAACAGTTGAAGAGTATTTTTCCTCAAAAATCTCTATTCGCATTAATTAGAAAGGATAGATATAGTGCGGGTTGCCCAATAATAACATTTTTTTAGGCCACGTTTGGAAGAACCAGAGAGGCTAACAGGGGTGTGCCCCACCCCCAAGCTTAGTAGATTATTTTAACACCCCTACAAATATTTGAATTTACATCACAACAAAGTATCAATTCACCCATTTTTATTAAAATATTGTGATTTTTGTTATAAATACTATAAAAATATTTTAAAAGTTATTGATACATATACTTACGTATATTTTCAGACTTATTAACGATGTCGTCATATTTGTCCCACCCCCTTTATTCATGCTTTTTCCCCCTATATACTTAAATTGATTTTTGTAAAATTCATCTGCTATTTTTGCAAAATTCCTACATTCCAGAGGGGCACTTAGGAAAATCAATTCTAATAAATAGAGGTACTTAGGGCCATTTCTCTTTATACTAATCTATCTAAACAGCTCTAAAATATCAAGTTTTTTTTAACGGAGGGAGTATTGAACATGGAGGAACAATTTGTGATTTCCTTCGCCTCTGAGTTAAATAGATACACATATTAATGGGTTAGGAGATTAACATGAGGGGGAAACTAGAAGTGAAATGAGAATACAAGGGGTCTGCTAACGCCGTGCGTTAGGCCAGCCACACGGTCGGCCGCTCTGCACAGCTGCACATGCGCTTCTATTCTTTTTCTTCTTCCGCCCGCAGTCCCACCGCCCCGCCGTGGGCGTGCTAGGGTTATTTCGACGGAGCTCCGCGGTCGCGGCGCCGCAGCCTCGAAGCCCTGATGAAACCCTAGCACGCCCGCAGCGGCCTTCTTCTTTCCCGCCCCTCTCCGAGCTCCACCATGGCCATGGGCGGCCCCGCCCCGCCCTGACCCGACCGTCTCCACCGCCGCTAGAACCCTAAGCCGCCCTCCCGTGCGTCCGCACCACCTGGCCGGCCTACCTCTCACAAATCCCTCATCTTCTAAGCCCGCTGGAGTTGGAGAAGAAGAAAGGGCCCCACCGGAACCCTAACCTGGGAGTGCTTGAATGCGGGAGGAGGAGGAGGACACACATCGCCAGCGCTGAACCCGTTGTCGCTAGTTGGAACCCGCCGCCGGAGTTAGGGAAGAAGCATGAGGTAGAAGACGACCTGGCAGGTGTGGGCGTGGGGAGGGAGATAGGGGAGGTGGCCGTGCGGTGCGCCTTTTAAAACGGTCGTGCATTTTTTGAAGTCTATGCCAATTTACAATGGTCAAAAGCCACTATATAACATTTATGATATGAAATTGATCATACGTACAAAAGATGCAAAAGAACTCATATTAGATATTGGATATGGCTAGCCAGCACTCGAGCATTTTCCTTTTTCTCGACACCTGATTTTTCCTCTTTGTATCTTCTTCCTCAAGCCTGACGCGTCGCCGCCGCCGCAAGCGTGCTAGGATTTCGTCGGAGCTCGCCCGCAGTGGCCGCTTTCTTCCCCCCTCCTTTTCTTCTGTGTCAAGCTCCGGCCATGGATGCCTCCACCCCATTCTGGCCCGTCCGCCTCCACTGCCGCCAGGACCCCTAAAGTGCCCTGTCGCTGCCCCACCGTCTGACCGGCCTTCTTCACCCTGTCCCTTCTCTTCTTAAGTCCGTCGAAGTTGGGGAAGAAAGGAGTGGGGCGGACGTCGGCCGCCGAAGTTGGGGAAGAAGGGATGTGGGGCAGGTGTTGTGCGCGAGCGCAGGCGAGAAATCGAGTGTCCAACGTTGGGTTATTGGATAGCCTTTCTCTAGATATTTCCATAAATAAATAAATCTAAGCCATTCGGTGTTACCCTTGCAGTCGCTGGATAAAGATAAACCCATCATGCTCCACAGCTACGCCTCCCGGTCCCGGGAAGGAGAGAGAGACAGAGAGTGTGAAGTGAGGGGTGAGGGGGAAGAGAGAGAAAAGGAAGGCATGGAAGGAATGTCCAGCTGGAGGCTCCCGCGGCCAGTAGTGGGAGCGAAGCGCATCCGCAGAGGATCCTCGGTTGGAGGCTCAAAACCTCCCGCACCCAACCAAACTCCAGCCTCACATCACACACCCCATACTGCTCCTTCCGTTTACTCCCTCCTCCTCACATCTCTCTCGCCGCTGCAAACAAACAAAGGCAAGGAAAGAAACCGAGAAATCTCCCCCTGCGTGTGTGGCGAGGCGAGGTCGAAGGGCGAGGATCATGTCGGCGTCGGCGGCGGCGGCGGGGGAACGGGGGAAGGAGAAAGGCGCCGCCGGCCCCGGCCCCGGGGGCGCGTGCGAGCTGTGCGGCGCCACCGCGAGGGTGTACTGCAGCGCCGACGAGGCCACGCTCTGCTGGGGCTGCGACGCGCAGGTGCACGGCGCCAACTTCCTGGTGGCGCGGCACGCGCGCGCGCTGTTGTGCCGGGGCTGCGCGCGCCCCACGCCGTGGCGCGCCGCGGGCCCGCGCCTCGGCCCCACCGCCTCCCTCTGCGACCGCTGCGTCCGCCGCGGCCAGGGCGCCGTCGGCGTGGGCGGCGCCGACGAGGAGATGGGCGGTGCCGGCGGCGGCCGAGACGACGAGGATGACGACAACGGCAGCGGCGACGGCGACGGCGACGACGACGAGGTGGTCGTTGAGGACGAGGACGACGACGACGACGAGGAGGAGGAGGAGGAAGGGGAGGGGGAGAACCAGGTCGTGCCGTGGACGGAGGAAGCCGAGGCGACGCCGCCGCCCGTCGCCAGCTCCACGTCCAGCAGCAGCCGGGAGGCCCCAGCCAACGGCGCGAGTGCCGCCGACGGCGCAAAGGTGCCGCCTTTATCGCCCCTCTCTCGATTTGCCGTTCTATCGCTCGATCTGCCATTCTATCGCTTTGCAAAGATGCAATTTTTATAGTCGATCGGGATGCTTTCCCTCGTGAATCGCGGTCGACGATGATAGGATCGACTATTTCCTCCAATTCGTGAGCGACCGGTCGTTCTGATCCAAATGTCGCCATGTTTCTTTCCAGGAGAACGTGCCGTGCTCCACCTCGCAGCCGGGCTTGTGCCAGTACTCGTCGTCAGCGCGCCACGGCGGCTGCAGCGACGAGGCCACCTCCTCCCGGAACGGTGGCCGGTTCCTCGCCTCCCGCCACAGGAAGAGATCGCCCTCAGATTTCTTCAGCTCTGGGTCCGCGCAATCCGGGAGTGGCACTCCGGCGAGGAATTGCTCCAACGCGGGCATTGGCCGAAATGAGTGAGTCTGCAAACCCCCTTGATCTGAAAATTCCATGGCATGTTTATTTCAGTGAAGTGAATACTTAAGAACTGCAAGTACCATTCACTATACTACAAAAATGGAAAAGTTTCTGCTAGCGAACGTGGATGCAGTTATGCATCTTAACAAGCAAGATGTGCAGTACTGAATTAAAAAAATAAATATGGTAGATCGATCTCTTTTAAATAACTCGTGAGTAGCATTGCCAGGGAATAATTAATAAAAATACTAATTGTAAGGTGAGCGAATTGATATAAACGATGGAAAAAGTCTACATAACCCCCTCACCTATTGCTGCTCGACTAATTTACCCCCCCAACCTATAAAACCAGGTATTTAACCCCCCTCACCTTTGCAAAACCGTTCAAATAACCTCTAGGGTGGTTTTGCATAGCGGTTTTGCCATGCTGGCGCGCTGAGGTGGTATTTGATGCTGACGTGGACGACTGACAAGTAGCCCCGCTTGTAAGTGGGCAGGTCTTCTCCCCTTACCTCCCGCGGCACGACGCCGCCTTCTCCCGACGACGTCTCGTTCCCCTTCTCCGGCGTTTCCTTACCCACTGGTGGCTGGCGAGCTCGCGCTCACAGCCTCACAGGTGAACAATTGAAGCAAATACATAGATAAACGTGCAAGCACTGATCGTCGGTGCATGCGTCGCGGGAGGAGCGGCGGCGGCGCGGCGCGGGGAGCTATTTCGGTGCGGACAGTGAGGCTCAGGATGAGAGAAGACCTGTCCACTTACAAGTGGGGCCCACTTGTCAATTGTCCACGTCAGCATCAAATTCCACCTCAGCGCGCCAGCGTGGCAAAACCACTATGCAAAACCACCCTAAGGGGTTATTTGAACGGTTTTGCAAAGGTAAGGGGGTTAAATACCTGGTTTTGTAGGTTGGGGGTGAAGTAGTCGAGGAGCAATAGGTGAGGGGGTTATGTAGACTTTTTCCTATAAACGATGTAGCAAAAGGTTGATGGCTACTTATGGGTTTCACGGTCATGAAGTTTCTACTGGGAAAAAGGGATGGCTGCATCATAACGAGAAAGCTTTGCTTGCCTTGCCAAGAGCCCGGTCATGAAGTTTCTACTGGGAAAAAGGGATGGCTGCATCATAACGAGAAAGCTTTGCTTGCCTTGCCAAGAGCCATCATATGATGCTTGGAGTGATCCGCAATCCCAGTAGTGCTCTAGCTGATGGGTAGCAAACTTGCTTTTAGATTCTAAAAGCATTACATTTCCACTTTTTTGTGGTCTATTTTTGGTGTAGCGACATGTAGATGGTATGCGAGCTTGTGAGCTGCCAAGTGGCAATTTGTGTCAATTATCACACTCGAATGCTACTGTTTAATCTCGTCTGTCAGAGAAGGTGTTCATGCCTAGTATTTGAGCCTTGAACTATATTTTGTTGTTGCTAGGATAACTTCATGATTGGTAATTTCTATAGGTTGGAACACCTTTTGGTGAAATTTGGCAACTCAGTATGAGTCTTGTTTCATGATTGTGATCAAAGTTGCTCATGGTAGATTTCTGTTTTGTTATTGCAGCTTTACCTGAGGCAGGCAACTTGCGATGACTGGTGTAGATGATGATGCTAACTACATTAGAAGGTCACTTTTAGTGTATCCAAGCTTTGGGAAGATGTGGATCACGACGAGATCAGTTTCCGCCAAGGCATACATCTTTCTTCGGTCATCAAATTGAGGCGTGCATCTTTGTTCGGTCGTCAACCTTGCATGCGCAGAGTTATCAGGGCAGCTGCCCCAGAATCATGATAGTATTCCTAAATGGCGACGGCTTTGCTGGAGATTGTATATGTCCCCACTACTTTGTTGTGTTTAATTCCTTCCTCCTCTTCTGTTTGTGGATAAGGCGTATTCGCTAACCTAAGAAAAATGATATAGGCTCGCATTTGCACTGGCATTGTGTGATGGCCTCACTGTCTGGATGCTTCCTTTGTGCCCGAAGTCCTAATTTCATGTCTCGCCACAGTTCTTTTGGTGAGATTTACTATTTATGGCTGCAATGGCAGCTGAAACATGCGGCACTGTTGCTCACCTGGCAATACAATTTGTGCAAGTTGCCTCATGGCAAAGATGGATCTGGAATTCTTAATTACCCAGTTGGGCATGGGATTAGGATATGATTCGTGTGTGGATGCTTGGTTATCTGGTCAAATAGGTGTTCTTAAATGGAAAATATCCAGCTTGGGTAGGGGGAACGCAGAAGTAACATCATTTGAAATATCTGCAGAGGTTGAGGTTGATCTAAAGCTCATCAGGTCAGTGACAGCAACGTGCAGATTTTGATACTGCCACAACCCCACAAGCCTGCCTGCCTGCCTGCTTAGGGGCATCAGATTCTTCGTCCTAATCTTTTCTTTTGATCCCAGGCCCGGTCGCTATCGACACCACTCACCACAAAGAAACACGCCTGAAAATGAAAGCAGGGGTACATCATGGCATGGATGTACGCTTGCTGATGCTGCTGCTTGCTTTGTGGTGTGAAAGAGAGTTGCAGGGAACTGAAGCGTTTCTATTATATTCTGCTGGCGTTTAGCATGGACATGGAAGCATCGTGCAAACAAGCCACATGCCTGACGGTGACCTGCAGCTTTGCTTGCAACCGGTGGCACACTTGGGCAATAGATTAGTGGCCAAGCGTGAGTCATCAGGAGCTCAAGAATATGCAGACTAGGGGATCAGAGCTTCTCCTTGATTGACCACACACCATTTTAAAAGACCGTTAAGTTTAGTTTGAGAAGAAGACACCGCAATCATACTAATAAGCTATGCCATCCTATGGGCTATGGCTGAGAGATCCGAGGTACTATAATCTTCTCTTCTGCCGGGAAAATTGCCAGCATAGTCTGATCTGATGGTCCTAGGCGTCATTGACATGGGATGTTTAAAAAAAAAAACGAAACTGCTAATCGTGGCGCTATCGATCACGAAAAAAGAGCAAATCTAATCTTATTTTGTGATTCTTTATTTTTTCCACGAGAGTTTGCAGGAGCTTGTGATCACATAGCCGCCAGCCGTTGAGCTAGCAAGCATTCGAAGTGTCTGTCGAAGGGGACAGGAGAAAGCTAGCTGGGAGGAGTATGCATGGCCATGGAATGCAAAGGGGGAATCATGGTGACAACACCTTTACTAGGAAGCTATCAGTCCTCGGAAATGGTCCAGAATCTATGTCACCCAACCCAGCCCAACCCATCTCAAAATATCTCTGCAGAGGAGGAATAGGCAAAGGCAGGCCACAAGATACAATACACTGAGACTGAGTATTGTTCCCCTCTGGAAAGCGGGGTCAGGCAGAGTAGTTGCTTGGCCCTACCAACTCCCACCTAGGAGTAGTCCATTCACTTCCATTGTTGATATGTTTTGGTGGCCAAATTCGTGTAAACTAGAATGATACCTCTTGTTTCAAAAAAAAAAGAGAATGAACCTCGCATGTTGTTGCGAGACTATTTTTAGAAAAAATAATTGCATGTGTGTTAAGCCTACATGCTCTTATATCCATTTTATCAAAAAGGCAACACAATCGAAGAATCCAATAATAAAACTCACAAAATTACAAATTATAAGATGATGGAACAACAAAACTAATTATATTATATGGATGGCTTTTATATTTCTTATATATTGAAAGTAGTAATTGCGTTTAGTGGAGATGACATGGTTAGTGGGATCACGTGGCTATTAGTGGAAAATGAGATGGATAGGTTGCATATTAAGATAAAACTTGCAGTGAGATTAGCTTTAGTGAGATGACATAGTTATTAGTGATTATGATGTGGATAGTTAATACGAGATGATGTAGATGGTTTGAATATTAAGATAGAACTTGTAGTGGAGATTAACTTTATAAGGGATATAGATTAACATGTCTCGGGCAACCATACTACAAGATTAACATGTTATGAAAATCGTTGTGTTACTCCACACGGTATAATAAAACACTGATGAGGTGAGCATCGAAAATAAAACGTAGAGCTTTGGTTTAGCTGGGCCCAGTTAACCCTGAACTTGTGTGCAACAGCCTTGTTTGGGCCGATCTGATTTGCGCCTTCTCTTTTTCTGTTTTTTTACTCTAACTAGCAAATTTGAGGTTGTGTTGCTTGTTTGAACTATGATGTTTATTGGTGTTTTTTTTTCAAAAAATTGCATGCTTGGCCCTTTTCCCCCTTTTCGTGACTATTTCGTTATGGATCAGAATATTGTGTAAGAAACTATTCTTAGAGCTTTGAAAGTACTAATGTAGGATACTAATAACTACAACTTTGAATTTTCATGACTATTTTATTTTTGGATTTTCTATTCAAAATGATGTAACTTTATGAATCCTTATTGATCTTTTTTAAAGGGATATTTTGTGGAAATTGATTTCTGTATATCTCCTAAGAAATAATAAATAGTTCAAAATTGTTGATAAATGACACTCATCCCTCAAACAATGTAGAAAAAGAACAATCATACACTAGTAATCTCAAATAGTACAATCATTTATGGCGTGTTTAGTTTGGGGATGTAGTTGGATAGGATATGACCATCCATGTGTTTAGGATGGACTTATTCATGCTTTCTATTTGGTTGGATGGAGCCAATTTTTTTTGTTTAGTTGGATGGATAGGAGTCGCATGCTTTCTGTTTGGTTGGATGGAGCTATCTTTTTGGTTGGATGGATGAGAGTGGATGTGATGAGAATAGTTAAGTTTGTATCTATTATTTAAAAATAATAACAACTAATTATACACTAATAAATATGCACTAACACTAATGTTGGCATGATAATCAGTAATTAAAAACATTAAATATGTAATTAGCACTACTACCACCCTAATTGGCACACAAAACACACACTAATCACCATATTAGCACTTATTAAAATTAATCTTGCCATCATAATAACTACTTCCTCCATCTTAAATTATAAGTCGTTTCAACTTTCTTTGAGACTCAAAGCATTTTTTTAAATAAATTATAAATAGT